GGGAGCTGAGCAGGGCCCTCGCGCCGGCCCCTACCGGCCCAGACCTCCGCAGCCGCCGCCCCACCCCCGAGAGACATGACTTCCAAACCGCATTCCGACTGGATTCCCTACAGGTACGCGGCGTCGGCTCTTGCAACCCTTCCACTCGGGAGCTCGGGCAGGCCCATCACTCTCCATCTCTGTGGAGGTGGGGCATGGAGTGGGTCACCACGGACCCCAACCCCAGACTCGGGACACAGGACTGGCTTGCGACTAGGGCACCTCTGCCTTCCCCATCTTTCAGAAACGTTAGAAACGCTGGGGCCCCAAACCTGCTCCACCCCAGGATCTGTCCGGGTTGCTGTAACCGTCTTCATGGCTGCGTGGAGGAGGGGCGCAAACGGTTGTGAGCCCCCTCCGAGGCCTAGCACCCGGGCCGCACGCCTTTATAGCTTGCGCACGCACAGCGATAAAACTGCACGCTCGCAGCCACAGCTTATCTTCGCCTTGGGCCCAAAATGCCCCTGCTGGTCAGTACATGTTCTCAGAGAATGGATTTTTGGGGACAGTTAATTCTGAACCCAGACCACATGGCGGCTCAGATATGCATGCACCCATATATTTCTATAGACATCAGTTCAGATGCACACCTGCATGCAGAGCTATGCACATACACATCCTATATCTGGAGGATATTTGACAGGTACTATTCAGTCAGGTACTACTCAGTATCATCTACTTATGCATTTATTTATTGGACCTTGCATTTACGAGACAGGCGCAATGCCACTGAGTTAAATCCTGGCCTACTCCATCTTTTAGACTCAATAATTGGCTTCCTAACAGGCGTATCTCTGGAGGCACACCTGCTCACATAACACAGAATTGCCCTCGTGTGCTTAAAAGTACTCAAAACCTCAGGTGCACTCAGGGAAGCCTCCCTCTCTCTGTTCCCAGACACTGGTCTGACCCAAGGCTGGACAGCTTTTCCACTTGTGTGGGAGGAGGTCGACTGGTCTCCGGGCCTCACACAGGTGTAGGCTTTCCCCATCCATTCTACTCCAACTTTTCTATTACCAGCAAAGGAGCTCATTGCCATGGCAGCGCCAGATCCTTGGCCACCAGTTGGCTCTTTGGTTGCCATGGGCTACAGGACTGTCTCTAGGCCTCCTGGAGAGGCGTGTGTGTAAAGAGGGTGCTAGACTGCTAAGGACCACTTTTTACTGCTGACCCAGGTCCGTATTTCTGCAGGTGGCAGGATTTAGACCCTTAGAGCCACCTTGTAGGCACAGCCTGCTCTGGAGAAGGAACCCAGTCCCACTGACAGAAAGTTCAGAGCTTGTCCATGAGTCTGTCCAGACAGCATCCCAAATAAAACCAGCTGAAACTGCCCAAGGCTTGTTAAGAGCACATCTTTCTGCAAATAGGAAACCATGACTGGCCTGGGAATTCACGGTTTGTCTTGAGAATTGTTATGGCACCTAATTTCTGCTCCCGTGGGGTCTTCAGGGATTTCCAGGTTATTTGGAGTCCCCCCCCCCATGCACAGGTACACATATGACTCACCCACAGGTTCTCCTGCAGACATATGTATCTACAGCTGAGTCTTACATGGATCAGAGAGGTATTCCCATTGAGAACTTGGAGCTAGGGCATGCTAACTCAAAAGAGCATGTGTCCTAGACAAGACATCCAGGCTAGTGGCACAGGGAGTTTCTGGAACATCCTGGCATTTCTTGGCATATGTTTCCTAGAAGGTAGTGTGGCCCCAAAGAGTCTCTTATCCTTTCTAGGCTAATCAGAGGTTCCTGTGGGCTGAGTAGACTCCAGGGTGTAGCTGTGGAAGTACCAGGCTCCACACCCTGGAGTGTGGAAATACCATTCCAGACTGTGGAAGTACCTGTGTGAGTGGGGTTCAGGTACAAAGTAGTAGCTGCAGGCCGAGGAAGATGGGAGGAGGCACACATGCAGCTCTGGGGAAGATGACACATTTAAGGATCTGGCTGACTACAGTCTTAGCTAGGCTAGGACATGGCTCCCAGGAAGCCAAGGACTAAAGCACCTTGTTGAATGAATGTCTTGATCCCAGAAAGCATCTGCCTCACGCTGGGGAGCCTTAAGCCTGTTTCTGGGAAAGGGTATCCTCAGCAGGTAGGATTTTCTCTGGGAAATAACTCTGTTCTGAAGGACTCTGGTGTCCTGCAAGGAGTGATTGGTATCTGACCTAACCCAAGCCCAGCTCTCCATACCCCTTCTCCCTGCATTGTTCAGCCTAGAGCACAGAATCTTGACACCCTGGAAGCCTAGCCTAGAGGAGCAGGTAGGCACCCTGGTGGCTCTGCTCTACTTGCTTTCTCCATTCTTCTATCACTCTGCCTTCTCTGTACTAGGAAGGGAGGGTTCCAACTGGGGTGGTCTGTAGTCAGAAGTTGCAAGGATCTTTCCTTCCCTGTTGCGTCTTTCTGGGCATGTCCTGAACCTAGAAAAGGCTGCACTAGGGCGTATGCTTCCAAAATGTGGACCCCTGGGCTGAGAGGAGATGCAAATTGCCTCGTTCATTAACTGGGTTGCTGGTTGTAGGCAAAGCTCCCAGTTACAGAGGAAACTGGAACAGAGGACGGCAGGCATTTAATGTGCAGCTAGGGGTGGAGGGCAGCTTGTGTGCACGTACTTTCACTGGCTCAAGGTTTCCCTGATGTCACAGTATGTCAGAATTGCGATGTGGTGTTGGGCTTGGCCGAGAGGGGTCAGCTGACTTCTTGTTAGCACTGCTAGTGGGGTTTCTCTCCTGTGACAGTTGCAGCTTGCATTCCCTGGGCCCGACTCATTTTCCTCAAAGCAGTGATAGGTGGTGATAATCTTCTTACGAGTAATTTTGCCTGAGTTTGTAAGGATCGTGGATTACTCTCACATTCTGACTTAAAAGGGAGCCATTTTGTTTATAAAGTTGAACAACTGTAAAATTTTTCAGCCTATTTTTCTATTACCATTAACAATGACCATTTCAGTCAATATTCTTGAGGAGTATTAAATATCTGCAATGTATAACTTTACAACCTTTTTTTAAATTGCAGCGGGGTAGAACCCTGAGCGTCAGGAAGGACTGTGGCCACAGGTTTATTGTAGGACCACGATGAGTACAAGTGATGACCAAGCTATACTTGGTGCTCTTGTCTGCATGGTCCTGATACCAGTGTCTGTTGTTTCCCTCACCAAGTTATGAACTTCTTCTTCTTTTTTTGGTATGGGGATTAAACTTGGGGCCTTGCGCTTGTGAGGAAGGCAGTGGCACCACTGAGCCCAAGTTATGAACTTCTTGAAAGCAGGGACATTATGTGGTTCCTGGCTGTGTCCCCAGCACAACCCAGGGTAGATAAGATGCTCACTTCTTTGAGTCAGTGTTATTCTTGTGTAGCCTTTAGGGCAGTGGTGGTGAGCCTGTGGCATGTGTGCTGCAGCGGGCTGTTTGTATCACTGAAAGCTCTAAAACATTCACCATCACTACTTTAGGGCTTCCTCAGCTTTCCTGGTCCCACACCTGGGTTCTCAGCACACAGGAGGGATACAGTGCTCTCCTGTTATAGTGGGGCCCCCTGGACCCCTGCTCAGAAGGCCCGGATCTAGGTCACTGAAGGAGAATCTTAGGCTGCAGCACTCTGTAAGGGTTCCCTGTGGCACCCCTGCCAAATACCTTTACCAGCTAGCTGGCTGTGACTGTGGAAAGTTCTGCTGTGGGCTGTGCCTAAGCATGGCTCCAGACTCCCTCTTCTCTTGGCCCTTGTTAAGCATCTTTTGCCACTTACTCCCTTTTCTTTCTGGGGAGCAGTGGGATTGATTACTGACTGAGCAGGACTCCCAACTATTTCATTCTGCTGCTGGGTTTAGCCTCAGAGGTACCTTGCTGTGTGGGACCACCACTTCACCTCTGGCCTTTCCTAGCAGCTTCAGTTTCCTTTTGTTCCTAGACCGTGGCTCTTGCTCTTCATTTGCGTGGCCAAGCATTAACATCACCTACAGCACTTGCTTTTATAAAAAAGAGCTTGGGCCTGGGATTTAGCTCAGTGGTTCTGCAGCCTGCCTCGCAAGCACCAGGACCTGAGTTCAATCCCCGTACCTAAATAAATAAATGAAGCGTTTCAGGTGGGTCGATTCTCGTGTGTTCCCCTACAGTTCTGAATTTCCAGGACAGGGTTAGCTGACCTCTAGAGAGAAGTTTCAGTGCATTTGATACTTTGGGAACCACCAGCTGGAGTGGAGCTGGCCTCATCCCCTGAGGCTGGAACTCCTGTGAGTAGCATAGTCCTCTCTCTTCTGGAGCTGCTCCCATTCCCACCGTGCTCCAAGAAGCTACTAGGCAATGGGAGCCACACATAGGAACTTGCTAGGTCTGGCATAGGGCACAGAGTTGCAGCCAGACACTCTGGGAGACCTGTCCTCTGCTGACGGCCATTTCTCTGATTCCTGGGTCCAGCAGGGGCAGCTTGCATGGTTCTTTCTGGGGGGAAAGAATGAGGACAGGAAGAGGAGAGGGCACAGTGGCCATGGAGAGAGTATCCGCATGGTTGAGTCTGTCCTACGTTGTCCTGGCCCCCAGGCCTCTGGGTGATAGTAGTGGATTAGCTGGTTCTTTTAAGGTGGAGTGTAAAAAGAGAAGAATGGAGACAGGTTTCCTAAATATGCTGGACACGTCTGGCTTTCCGGTTTACAGGAAGAGTGCCCTCCTCCCCATGCTTTTGATCCCTTGCGTCAGTCACGGTTTACTTCCTACATATCTGTGAGAGCGAGTAGAAGTAGGAAAGCTGGCTCCCTGGAAGGTAAAGTTGCCGCATTGTTGGCCCTGGGCAGAACAGTTAGATTGGTGGACACTGCAGACTGGAGCCAGTGGGTGGTGCTGTCCTGGGCCTCCTCGGTCTGGTCCCCACATGAGGTGACCATAATGAAGGAGCTGCAAGGGTCAGCTGAAGACCCATCCATCAGTGCCCTGACTGTCCCAGTCTGTTGGCAGGGCTGCAGCTGGCAGCCTGAGCTTGGCAGTGATTCCATAATTGGCGCTGGAGTCATTAAAAAGCCATCACTGTCTCCCTGCATGGTTATCGTGTAGTATAGCCTAGAACAGTGCCCATGAGAAAGGCTAGGAGGTGCTGGTGAGGAAGACAGACGCCTTAGGAATGATGGTACAGAGATGAGGAGGCTGGGCCAGAGAGGGAGCTGGGCTGCTTAGTGAGAGAGGAGCTCCAGTTCTGCTCTCGCCCTGGGGACTGCCGTCATTGTTGTCATTGTTCTCCACCACAGGCTGCTGTGTGCCAGGGATTCTTTGTTATTCACTCAGGAGAGATGTTGTGCGCTTGGATGCCTTGTCCTTAGACAGGAACACTCTCCTAGTACAAGCTTGTCACTTCCAGGTGACTGTGGTCTGCCTAGTCCCCTTGCAGCTCCCCTAGAAACCTGTGCTTTCCAAGGAACCCAGTTTTTCCCAGGCGTCCTGCTCACTCTCAGAGCTTCCTGGTGTTGGTGGTTTATTGTAGGCTGTCTTAGATGGGTCTTCTCAGCCAGGTGCATGCTGCATCCGGCCAGCTGCTGCCCCTGCCGTGCACGCTCCCCTCCTTCGGGGTACCAGGACACACCTGGTGGTGAGTGAGCTGGTGGGCAGCTCACAGGGCACTTCTGAGGCATCTGAGGGTCTGGAATCTCTTTCGGAAGCTTTGCTCTTAGGTTCATCTATCTCTGAAGGCTCTGGGTGAGTCCTTTCTACCTGCAGTCTTATCCAGTAATCAGTGTTCCTAAAGCTTGTGGGTCTTTGTCCTTCCTCCTGGGGAATGGGGACAGAAGGAGAAGAAACATGTTTACAGAAAGTTACCTCTTGCCCCAGGCATAACTGTGGAATGCCCACTGCATTGTGACAGTGCCTGTGGTAGGAAACCACCTTCCCTGAGTGTATAAGGACATTAGGGGACACAGGTTAGTGAATCTGGAGTTTTCTGCAAGCACCTTTTGTCAGTTGAGTTGCTGCTGTGAGGCAGCTTTTCTGTGTGAAAAGTAAAGTGGCTTTACTGATGTGAGCTTTACCTCTCAGCTAAGTGTTCTCTTGTAAATGAATAGAAATTCACATTGGCACCATAGAAGCCATCTTGTTTGTCCTGCTCATCCAAGACCAGTGTAGGTGTGACCCAGGGGACTGCGTCTATCTCTGGCAGTGCCACCTGAAAGTAGATATGGCTTGTGACATCTCAGTCAACTGTGAAATGGGAATGGTGACAAGAGGCCCGAGAGGAAGCCAGCACGCCTCATGAAAATCGCACAGGGACTTCTGTGGCTAGGACACCAGCAAACTGATTGTGAGGATAACAGGCTGCCCAGATCCAGGTCTGGAGCTCAGCAAGCATAACGCAGCTGGGCTTCAGATCCCATTACTTCTGCCATTGGGGTGCAGTTGCACCGAGTGCAGACTGTGCTTTTTTCATATTCTGGAAGTAATGGATGGGTATGCACTGCTAGTGGAGCTGACGACGATAGTCAGTGAGGTTTAGAAGTTAGTCTGTGTCTTAGTCAGCTGGGACAAAATACCTGATTCGTGCATCTTAAAGGAGGCAAGTTTTATTTTGCCTCACAGTTTCTGTGGGTTTATTCCACGGTCACCTGGCTTCAAGGCAGAAATTGTGTGGTGGACATGATACCATGTGATATTCCTGAGAGATACATTCCAGGTTTTTGTGTATAGTGAGCAAAGTATTGCAAGGGTACACCCAATGGGAAAAGAAAAAGCAGCTACATATATTGAACATAATAGGAAGGTGTGCTTAGGGCACAGAAGTGGCCAAAACACAAATGTGGCGCTGGGAAGGCAGGGGAATAGGAAAAAGATGGAGATGAATCAGGATTTCAGATTTTTTGGGGGGTGGGTACCAGGGATTGAACTCCGATCCTTGCACTTGTGAGGCAGGTGGTAATACCACTGAGCTAAATCCCCAGCCCAGGCTTTCAGATTTTAAAAGATGTGCACCCTACCCCAGGTGCCTCTCACTGAACTCTGGATAAGAGTGACAGAAATGATTGACAGAGTGCTGAGTCATGTCAGGGGCTCCTTACTATGCAGGACTTTCCCAGAGTTCATTCTGTTGTAATCACATACTGGAGATGCAGTCCCCATGTGTGAACCTTTAACAAGCTTCAAGTGAGGAAAGGCTAACCGAAGGTCAGGCCATGAGATCTAACGTGCGTGTGCTCTGAGCTGGAGCTTTAGAAATTTCCTGCATCTTTAGTATTTTATTTTTGCTTCTCTTAGGAACAATAGAAGGAGGATTGGCCCTGGGTTGTTGCCCAAATTTAGGTGGATGGACGGGGAGTGGTCTCTAAGTCCCAGTTGCGTTACTTATACTAGATGGGCTGCTCCAGTCCTGGAGGCCAGAAAGCAGAGGGAAAAAAGGGAGGAGCTGGGGGCGAGAACGCTCCCTTCCAGATCCTGCCTCAGTGACCCACCTCTAACCAGGCCCCAGCTCCTGACAGCAAATACGCACCCCCGGGATCCAATCACCTTTCAAGCCCATGAGACTTTTGGGGCACGTGTTAGATCTAGACCACAGCAGTCTGTGAGCAAGTGCTTTGCTTTTGGGACACTCAGATTTTGGGTCACTCAGACAGTTACTTGAGGTACAGAGATGGTGCAGGGGTGCGGCCTTGCAGGCTTGGCAAGACCCACAGGAGTCTTGCTTATTCTGGACCCTCAGCGTTTCTTCAGAAGCTCTCTCTCCCCCTCCACCCTGTGGGATGTAATTTCCATGATGAAACGTTTCCGTCAGCCAGCTCAAATTTTTAGGGAGTGGTTCAGTACTCCTCTGGACCTGGTGATATTCTCTTAAGCAAATGGACTGTTACAAGAAGACAGAGGCCCAGAGGCATGTCTCTTGAATGTTGTTTTCTCCTTTGATCTTCTGGCAGCTGAGGGTTTGGTGAATGAGGCAGTTTTTTGCATAGCTCCACGTCACAGTTGAGGCTCTTCTGATTTGCAGAAGGGTACCAGGAAAGGCCTCTCCAGATGTCAGGTAGGGAGACAGCAGCCAGTTACAAAGATGCATCGTGTAGCCAAGGAGGTGGGTGGGTGAAGCCAGAAGTAGGTAGTGGCCAGTCTGTGGTAAGTGGACTTCCTCCCTCTAAGGGATGTATAGGTCCATGATTGTTCCAGCTAGAAAGGGCAAGCTGTCAGTAGGAGTTGGAAATGGCTTCACCTTTTCTTTGGAGTGACTTGACTTTATCTTTTCTTCTCACACATACTGTATCCACCGTCACAAAGAAGGCCCACTTCTCACACAGGTTCGTGCATGCATGTGCGCATAAGCATAAGATGTACTCCACACACTCCTTATAACCCACACAAACCTAACGGCTTGGGTCTGGCTAAGCAGGTACTCACCTATGGGTCCCGTTCAGGAGCTGACTCCAGTATGCTCATGCCAGGGCTGCCTGGGTCTTCCCAGAGCTCAGATCTGCAGGCTCCATCTCCATCCCATTCAGCTGCTCTGCTCTTGGCTTTTTATTAAATTTGGGCCGAGGGTGACTTGAGCTAGCAAGAAGGCTAAGTGGTTATCCTACATATGCTCTGGGAGAGATGGGGCTCAACAGTTTGGTAACCCCAGTGCTGTCTGTGCCATGTCTGTGGTCCAGGAAGGATTTGGTGGCTGATTGCTGTGCTGTGCATTGACCTGTCGTGTCCACCCCATAGACATCTCCACCCAGCCCTAGCCCTTCCCTGGCGCTGATTAGTTTCTTAGCCTCCTTTTCCCAGATGAAGGGGATCCACTGCCCTCTTTAAAGAGGTAAAGGAGATGGATAGTATCAACACCTCTACTTGGCATAGAATGAGCCAGGAGTTTGGATCAGAAGAGGGTCTGCCCTCAGAGGACCCAGCCTTTTCCAGAAAGGGTGGAGAAGGAAGAGAAATCTGGTGAGATCCCCGTAATGACTTGGAGGAAGCCGGAACCTGAGTTGGAAGGCTGACTTTGGGCCTGGCTTGTGGCTGATGCCTCTCCATGGGTTCTCCCAGATCTTAATTAAACCTGATCCTGCTCCAAAGTGTGGAGGGTGGGAGGAGTTTGACTCATCCTGTTCTTACTGGAACAGGCTGCCTAGGACATCCTTGTAGCAGTGGGTACTAGCAGGAAACAAGCTCCCAAAGTTGCAGAAATACGGCTCAAGCCTCCATCCTTCCTCCCTCCATCAAGTGGGCTCACAGAGTCTGGGGAGCTGTGATGGGAGGGTTTTAAAGGACTCATGGATATGGCAGGTTCGGGGCTATATCCTGCCATCTCATGGGTAGGCCCTGAGTACTAATGTCTCCCTCTGCAGTGTCTTAGATGATGAGGGCAGCAACCTGAGGCAGCAGAAGCTTGACCGGCAGGTGAGTGAGGGCAGGGCTGGGAGAAGGGGCAGTCTGGGCTGGTGTACCTGAGGGCACAGGGGAAGGGCTGTCCCTCTTCCTGGGGTGATCTTATGTGATGGAGAAGAAGAGAGCTGGGCTCTTTCCTTTACCAGCTCAGTGTTAACCCTGCCCCTTTGCACAAGGCTTCGGCCAGGCAGGCGGCTAGCATGACTGCAGTTGGAGGGCTGGATGTCTTGGAGTGCCTTCGACAGGGGAGTGCTCTGGACCCCAGTCCAGGGATGCACCGACCTCTCCAGCCCCACTCTGGGAGCGCACCCTCCTGGTGGAGGTGAGGGCCAGCCCTTCTCTAAGCCAGCCCTGTGCTCTACAGCGGGCCCTGCTGGAGCAGAAGCAGAAGAAGAAACGCCAGGAGCCCCTGATGGTGCAGGCCAATGCCGACGGGCGTCCCCGGAGCCGGCGGGCCCGGCAGTCAGAGGAGCAGGCCCCTCTGGTGGAGTCCTACCTCAGCAGCAGTGGCAGCACCAGCTACCAAGGTACATCCTGTCACCTCCTGGTGGCAGCCAGCTTAGGAGACCACCCCCACCCCGCAGTGTGATTCTACACCCCCATCATGGCTTTGGGGAGCCCCTCAGGGTTTCCCTGCTGACCTGGGGGACTTGTCCTGTTAGGATTTGCCCAGGCTGAGTGTGTTACCCAGCCCAGGTGGACAGCAGGGTGGGGTGGGCAGAGTACTCAGGGTCTCAGCTCCTGAGTCAGCTGTGGAAGCCAGAACCTAAAACTTTGTGAATCTGGAAATACAAAGGTCTAAGTTTCTGATCTGCAGCATTTGACGGAGAGCAGGAGGCAACCTCTAAGAGCAGAAGAGTGTACTCCCCACCGGCACTGTCTCCTGAGAGGAATCCATCTCAACGTCCTCCCCCCACCAGCTGGGGTCTCCCGGGACACCTACTGTTTTCTTCTTCCTTGAGTCCTCTGTACCTTCCATCCGCCTGTCTTCTGACCCGCGGATTCCTGTCCCTGGCTAGGACTCCTTCAGAGCTGTAGTGGCCCACAGTCTACCACTGCTGCCCTCATACACTAAATTCTCAGCACAGCCTGCCTTTGACACTTCTGGGAGGGGATAGCCCCTTCAGATCCCTGCACTGGAGACCTTCCCGCCTGCCTAGATTAGGTTCATTGCCCCCCCCAGAAGGATTAGTCTCTAAATTTGAGAGATTCCATCACCACTGCCCCCTGCTGGGCTGGTGCTGATCACGCAGGTGGCTGCTCCCTGAAGTGCAACAGTAACACTGAGAAGGTTGCTGGCACCCGTTTTTTGCAGGTAGGAAGCAGCTGTGGTACTCCCTTTCCTTTGTGGCTTGTCTCCAACCTGGAGCCTCCAGCCGCATTGAACTGCTGGCTTTGTCCCCCAGCCTTGCAGTGTCTCAGGTTCTTTACGTTCTTCTGACCAGCCCTCGTGTACCGGTACCCTGATCTGTGCCTGGGAGGGCACCAATTTGGTCTCTTTCACCTATGCCTAGATTGTGGTTGCAAGCTGTAGATATAAGCATGGTCCCCTCTGTGTGTGCACAGACTCCCCAAGGAAGCCCATCTCGTTTCTGATAATAAAGCTGTCTTTGGGCATTTTCCAGGACTAAACGTGGTGGAAGGCGCTTAGTCTGTATTCTCCCTGCTTCCTCACAGTAACTCATTAGCCCCACATGGTTGATAAGGCACGGGCTCAGAGTGGTGCAGCAACCTGCCTGTGGTACCCTGGTAGTGAGCAGCAGGTCTAGAGTAGCTGTGGGTATGATCAGACTCTTAAGTGGTCTTTCTACAGTATTGGGCTGCCTCCCTGCCAGGAGCTTCTTTGTGGCAATTCTTCCTTGTGTACATCAATTTAGCACTCTGGACCTTACCTCGTATATCTGTAATCCACTTGAGAGACCTTTCGGGAGGAAGACGGACCACAGGCCAGCTGCTCTAGTAGCCTCTTCCCCACTCCTCTGGGGGAGCCATCCCAAGGGTGGCAGGCCATGGCACACTGAGGAAAGGCAGCCGTTGTCCTGGGGCCTGTGGAGCTTGGCCTGCTGCTCTACGGGCATCACAGCCCCAGCTCTGCCAATCATGTTACCTGAGCCTTTGAGGCTGCATATGGGATAAGAGCCTAGCAGGTTATAGCTGGTAGGTTCCACAGGGACTGTGGCCCTGCCCCTTAGTGCCCAAGGTGCATGCCTTGAGGAGTCGCTGATGTGGAGGAGGTGGAGGAGGTTGGCAGGGCTTTCTTGAGCTCTTACAGTGGGCCTCATGGGGTGGAGCCTGGAGAAGGCTGCGCTGAAAGAGAGCACCTCAAGGTGTTTGTTGCTGCAGTGGAAGACGAGTTTCTGGTCCTGCCAATTAGGCTACTTGCTCATTTAGGAGTGGGGGCATTTACCGTCTCGGATCTCTTTCTTCCACTATAAAATGAGGAAAAGTCTGTCTTAGAGCTTTGAAAGTTGAAGGAACTGCAAACTCAGCTGATTGCTATTCCCTGCTGAGAGTCCAGAGCAAGGCAGGCCCCCAGGGTCCTTCCTGCAAGGGACATCTGACATTTGTGAGGTACATGCTGCTTCTCTGGGGGACCCAATCTTTGTGTCTTTGTGTGTCTCCCAGTAATGGAGAAAACATGGGGAGGCTGCTCGACCCAATGCTGACCTGGGAGCACTGGTGCATCTGAGACTTCCCCTGCCCCTCCTGTGGCCTTTGCTGCCTCCTGCTCTGCCCTCTGCTGGCTGCTGGTGTTAAATACATGGGGATGTTCAGAGAGAAAGAACTGATGCTTCTCCCAGGAAAGTTTTTGACCTGCCATTGTGCTCATCCATGGTCCACATTCATCCATTTCCTATAATTTATCGAGGACCTACTTTGTGTCAGGCTCTGGACAAGAAGCTTGGGTCCCTGGTGAGCACAGATGGGTGTGGTCTCTGTTTTCCTGGACCTTATGGTCCAGGTGGAGAGGCTGTTACAGATGGTCACAGCTGGAAAGAAGCCAGGCTCTGTGAGGGAAGACAGGGCACCTAGAGCCAGGGTGGCTTCTTGACCTGGAACCTGCAGGACGAATGAGACTTACACGGACAGGGGATGGCAGTGAATGCAGTGGGAACAGCCAGAATGAGGCTCCCGTGGCAAGGGCGTAAGTAAGTGCAGGCAAGGTCTGAAAGAGCTGCTATGGGCGGAACTCTTGGTTCCCAGGCAGTGGTGTAGTTAGGTCAAGGGGAAGGAAGTTAGAGAAGCCCAACATGCAGGAGAGTATTGGTCTTCATTTCACGAGCAATCAGAAACTCTTCAACAATTGTGAGCAGATCGCGGTCCTGCTGTTGGCAAAGGTGGAGCCCACCAGCTGCAGCCTTTCTGCAACTCCCTGTTGGTGTGTGTGGCTCTGTTCCTCCTGGAGATCTTCCTCCAGGTGCTCCCTGAGGTTCCACGCAGGCTCCCTGTGCTTGCCCTGGCCGTGGTCTCTTCAAGAAAATGCAGCCTTTGCATCCTCCTCCATTCCTTGGCCCACATTCTCACAGACATACCCTGCCCCTGCCTGGACTCAGAACCGTTCTCTAGCCCAGAGCTTTGGTTGCTGTTTGTTGGCTGACCGCTGCTTTGGCCTGGTGTTGACCTCATCATCCGAGGCTGGGGCACCACTCTGCAGCAAGGCCTGCTGTAGACCTTTGCCCTGTAGGGACAGAGCGGGCGCAGGAGGCAGCACGGCATGTGTTGGGAGAGGGACGAGAACCATGCTGGGAACCGTTGGGGGGCCTGGACTCACCCAATGTCCATTTTCCTCTGTCATGGGTTCTCTCCTGAGCAGCTCAAGAGGCCGACTCACTTGCCAGTGTGCAGCTGGGAGCCACCCGCCCAACAGCACCAGCCTCAGCCAAGAGAACCAAGTCAGCAGCTGCATCGGGGGGCCAGGGTGGGGCCTCTAAGAAGGAGAAGAAGGGAAAGCACAAAGGTTAGCTCGCCTTCTCCACAGCGCCCTCCCTGCCAGCAGGCCCCACTGTGGGGTTGGGGGAGGCTCATCTTCCTAACTACTAACTGGTATCCGGGGGCTCACCAGCTAACCTGCAGGCTTGTCTGACTCGTGGGGTGTCTGGGTTAGCCTGTATGGACTACCCTTGCTTCTTTCCCTGCTTTGGCCTGCGCTCCCCTATGCTGGCCGCCGGGCCAGGACACTGCCTGATAGGGGCTGTCTGCCTCCCGGCAGCCTGTCCTTGTGCAGTGTCCGTGCTCCCTCCACGTGTGTGCTTCCCTAGACCCCGCTGTGGGCCACAGACCCGTCTGTTCCCTCTACTCCTCCCCAGAGCACAGATCCTTAGGGATCGAGGACTGTCATGGCGGCCCCAACCCTGAGTCCTGTCTCCTGGCTAAATACCCTCTTTCCTCAACCCTTGTTCACGGGCCGTGATTTCCAGGCTGCTGTGTCAGTTGGACGGTGCTGTGCCAGCGTCCATGGGCTTCTGGTGCTGGCTGTAGCACTGGGCCTGGCTCAGCCAGGCAGAATGGCTGCCACCTGTGTGGGCCAGACCTTGCTTCTGCCAGTAGAGCTGGGGCAGACAGGGCAGAGAGTTTGACATGGGATGAAGATCCACGGTGTTTCTTCCCCCACCCCGCTGCAGTGATGTGCATGTTATATTGTGTGTGTGAGAGAGAAGAGAGAGAGAGAGAGAGAGAG